ACATTTCCAATGGTTCTTCCATATTTTTTTTCCTAAGAGACTTTTACAATTCAGTACACTGATTTCCTGAAGGCAATGAAGTATGTTCTTCCATGGCAGAAGTAATTACTAGTATATAATTAAGACAAATTATTATACTGATATTCCATTAAACATAAATGATACATTATAAAGCTAGCAGGTGCATCATGATAATATCATGAGTTCCAGTAGTCTTGTTCTAGAATACTAATGTAATTGAAGACCAACCTAAAGAAAACCTGTTTTGAGAGAAATATGGAGGCTGCCATTTCTATGCTGAAAAGTCTGATAATTATGCAGATCATAATTTAGAGACACTGTAAAAATTTAAGCCATGTGGATCAGTATAACAGTCAGGCAACAAAAAATTTCAAAAGTTGTCAAAATCACAGCCTGCCTTTTTTCAGCTCATGTTTCACACAGAAAAGAAGTGTTCTACAATGCAGTTTTTGTCACAGTAGAGGCTTTTTTGATAGCATCTCATGCTCATTATTGCAACATCTTTAATCAATAGCAGCTTAAGTTGGTCATCAGGTGATGATGAGAGCATGAGATGAGCCTTAAGATGGTGTCTTTCAAAGCTTCCTATTTAAAAGAAAAAAAAAAAAAAAAATATATATATATATATATATATATAGCAACCCAGTTGGTGTGGGTGAGCCAGAACCTTGGTATTTTTGACAACAAGGTTTCTGGAATCACTCAAGCACACTGGGTAGTCCCTGAATAATATCTAATTGACAAATAACACCAGATGTTATTTTGTTAGGAAGGATACAAGGTATCTTATATCTAAAGCCCAACATTTGCATTGCCAGAGAAATATCACCCTAAAAATATAATTCTCTTTAAAAAAAAAAGTCACCATGTCATCTGTAAGTTTTCTGGGTAAAGTGAGATAGTAAAGTCTGGGGATTTTCTCTCTCCCGTCACCATCCTATGCTTTGGAGTATCCCTGCCCTTTTAGAGAGTTGTTTACAAACTGTTATTTCTCAGGTTCTTGGCCTAATAAATTGAATTCCCTTTCAGAACTTTACATGGTTTGAGGACAGGCAAGTTATACACTTGGCATGCTCATGTTCCTGGAAGCAGATATCCATTTATTGTAGAGGCATACTCAGTCATCTACTGTAAAGAAAATGTTTTTATCTAATTGGTCATTGACGTGTCTGATCGACCTTGTCTGAATACCCTGATGAGAGCATACCAACCGTTTGAAAGAACATTGACACAATTGCAGTATTTGGGAAGCAATCAGATTAATCGGAGATGGAATGTTGTCAGTCATAGAAACAATGGATCATTCTTCTCTTATGGTGATGAAAATGGCAAGGAACCAAAATAAACCAACTAATGCTGTCTGAAAAAAAAAAAAAAAAACTAAGTGTAGGCTCATATTGGCCAATAATAACTGTAGACCTTGGGTCGTCATCTAGTCAGAGTTAAGCTGTTTTTGCAATAATACATGGAGGAACTGGAAACCCCCAAAGCAAGCAGTGGATATACTGCAGAAGATACCATGGAGACCTCTGCATAGACCCTGAAGCATCTAAATGATAGCATTGTGACTTCGGTATTGCAAGGTTCTAGGCTGGAGTACAGAAGTCAATAGGTAATATATAGCCTGTCAACTAGCTGTTGTCAGGGCAAGCAATGCTTATGTAGAGTTACAAGATGTGTACAAGTCATGACAAGGTGGTGTGTAGGTTAAATGTAATGTAGGCAAAGTTCATAGCTGGCAGGTAAATAAATTCAGAAGACTGCCTTCATACAATGTAGTTACTGTAGATAGCCTGGCTACAGTTTGTACTCCAGAGCTGGCTCAGTTATGGACATAAATCAACTCTGGCTGGTTCAGACAGTCATCCTTTTGGTGCTGGTGGTTCATTATTAAGTGCCATCAACTCGTGTCCCAAGTCTTAGTGTTTTCGGCTTTGTGCTAGTCTGGCAAGATCCTCCAGTTTTATCCCCACAGCTGTAGTTAATATGTACAACCACCTAGTATTTGATCTCCCTCTTCACTTGGTTCCTTTGTTGGTCCTCAACATTATTTCTCTCTTCTGACAGTGTGAGCACAATAGGACAGTCACAACTTTATCATTTGGGCTTCTAGTGACATTGATCTCATCCAAAATTGATCTAACTGGCTATTAGTTCTATGGGCTGTCCACAGCACACATAAAATTTGGTGGTTCATTACAGTGCTGAATTCTAAATATTTAAGGAGCTTGTTTTCTAGAACTGTGATTAATTTGAGTCTATCCAGAATTTTGTTTTGTCCCTATCGTCCGCATTTTAACACAAGCTCCAGCTAAAGCCTGGTGTTAACCATTTCAGTACATGTAGGATGGATTGTATGAGATTTTTCAAATGACCCTCTAATCTGAAGTGCCTTTACACTGATGTTTAGAGATGCAAATGTTGGAATCTCCACTGCCATCATCAAGTGTAATTAAATACATCCTCTTAATATCTTGTGTTTACACCAAGGAAGAATAGATCAATTAATTTAGAATTTCTAGGGAGGTAAATAGAGTTTCAAGGTGAGCATAAAACACATATTGTTATTTACACCCGAAAGCCCAATGATGTCTGTGATAGTGTTTCGTTTTTTTTTGGACTGCCAATGTTACAACAGAAGATGCTACTGCACAAAAGATTTACTTTAAATGACTGTTGTACCTCTTTTAAATGACCCTATTACAGTGCCTTGAAAAAGTATTCATACCCCTTGAAATTTTCCACATTTTGTCATGTTACAACCAAAAACGTAGTTATTTTTGGGGGATTTTGTGATAGACCGACACAAAGTGGCATATAATTGTGAAGTGGAAGGAAAATGATAATTGGTTATCAAATTTTTTTTTTTTTACAAATATCTGAAAAGTGTGGCATGCATTTGTATTCAGCCCCCCTGAATCAATACTTTGTAGAACCACCTTTCGCTGCAATTACAGCTGCAAGTCTTTTTGGGGATGTCTCTACCAGCTTTGCACATCTAGAGAGTGAAATGTTTGCCCATTCTTCTTTGCAAAATAGCTCAAGCTCTGTCAGACTGGATGGGAGAGCATCTGTGAACAGAAATTTTCAAGTCTTGCCCCAGATTCTCAATTGGATTTAAGTGTGGACTTTGACTGGGCCATTCTAACACATGAATATGATCTAAATCATTCCATTGTAGCTCTGGCTGTATGTTTTGGGTCGTAGTCCTGCTGGAAGGTGAACCTCTGCCCTGGTCTCAAGTCTTTTGCAGACTCTAACAGGTTCTTCTAAGATTGCCCTGTATTTGGCTCCATCCATCTTCCCATAAACTCTGACCAGCTTTCCTGTCCCTGCTGAAGAAAAGCATCCCCACAACAGGATGCTACCACCATCATGTTTCACAGTGGGGATGGTGTGTTCAGAGTAATGTGCAGTGTTAGTTTTCCGCCACACATAGCATTTTGCTTTTAGGCCAAAAAGTTCAATTTTGGTCTCATCTGACCACCTTCTTCCACATGTTTGCTTTGTCCCCCACATGGATTCTCACTAACTGCAAATTGGACTTCTTATGGATTTCTTTCATCAATGGATTTCTTCTTGCCACTCTACCATAAAGGCCAGGTTTGTGGAGTGCACGATTAATAGTTGTCCTGTGGACAGATTCTCCCATCTGAGCTGTGGATCTCTGCAGGTCTTCCAGAGTTACCATGGGCCTTTTGGCTGCTTCTCTGATTAATTCTCTCATTGCCCGGTCTGTCAGTTTAGGTGGATGGTCATGTCTTGGTAAGCTTGCTCTTGTGCCATACTCTTTCCATTTTCAGATGCTGGATTGAACAGTGCTCCGTAAGATGTTCAAAGCTTGGGATTTTTTTCTATAACCTAATCCTGCTTTAAACTTCTCCACAACTTTATCCCTGATCTGGTGTGTTCCTTGGCTTTCATGATGCTCTTTGTTTGCTAATATTCTCTAACAAACCTCTATGGGCTTCATAGAACAGTAAATAGAGTTCACCTGTGTGTAATTTGATCTAATTAGGTGACTTCTGAAGGCTATTGGTTCCACTGGATTTTAGTTAGGGGTATCAGAGTAATAGGGGCTGAATACAAATGCATGCCACACTTTTCAGATATTTATTTGTAAAAAATTTTGAAAACCATTTTCCTTCCACTTCACAATTATGTGCCACTTTGTGTTGGCCTATCACATAAAATACATTTACATTTTTGGTTGTAACATGACAAAATGTGGAAAATTTTCAATGGGTATGAATACTTTTTCAATGCACCGTATATACATGCATGATGACATTCTTTCAAAATAGAATTTGAACATGTCCATTCAAACATCAGTATAGATCGTTCAGAAATATATTCTGCAGTGTACATATGAACGAATACCGGTAATCATCCTTTTGAAGTTTCCTAATTTGATCGAACCATTTTTGTGCTCTTCTGCGTACTTTTGGTAACATGTCTGTTCATAAGGACAAAAGATAGTGTATAAGCACAGTATTCAGAACACAAGACTTATTCTAACTAATCCTCAAAAGGGCATACTTTGTCTCTCTTAAAGTGAACCTTTCATATCCATGGGTGTAAAATGTATATTATTGGTACAGTACAGGCATGTTGTGCATAGGGAGGACCCTGGATGCTAAGCCCAGACTTTATACAGGTCCCAAATTTAATCCAAGTCAAGATTAGGTCCTGTTATCTAACATTCAATTGTTACATGTCATAACCTCTGTGGTCATAAAAGAATGGCACGTTACAGCTAAATGTTGGAAAAGGAGGGCCAGTATGCATTTTCAGTGGACACGAGTGAGTTATTTTATTCAAGAAGCAAAAAAGCAGAAGTTATGACTAGAGATGAGCGAATTATTTAAAAATTCGATTCGGCTGATTCGCCGAATTCGCGGAATAAATTTTATTCGAGGCGAATATATTCGCTGCGAATTTAACTTATAAAAAGGGTGTTTCTAGGCTTCAGAGAGCCTTTATATTAGTGCAGAACACTGTACCTTTAATTTAAATGCCCTTGGAGTCTGCTGGGGAAGAGAACTAATACTGTCAGTCAGTATGACATGCAGATGAGTGCCGTCGATCTTAGAATCACCGCACACTTCACTCATTTGGGCAGTCACGGGGCCAAAACCAGAGTGTGGAGCCACAGTGTGGCGGTGGAGGCAGCAGCAATGGGAGGCCATACAGCACCCTATGACAAAATGGAACCCACCAGCAGTGTGAGGAGACCTGAAAGTGGCACATGGCAGAGTGTGGCGATGGAGACAGCAGCAATGGGAGGCCGTACAGGGACCCATGACACACTCTGGACCTGGCAGCAGCATGAGGAGGCGGTACAGGGGCCCATGACAGATTACGGGCCTGGCAGCAGCAGTGGGCGGGCGGTGTGGATGCAGCAGTATTCGGAAGCCAAACACAGGCCTCGGTTAAAAAGCGGAAGCCGTCAGCAGCGTGAGCAGACGACAGAGGCACATGGCGCAGGGTGGCGGTGGAGGCAGCAGCAATGGGAGGCCATACAGCACCCTATGACAAAATGGAAACCACCAGCAGTGTGAGGAGACCTGAAAGTGGCACATGGCAGAGTGTGGCGATGGAGACAGCAGCAATGGGAGGCCGTACAGGGACCCATGACACACTCTGGACCTGGCAGCAGCATGAGGAGGCGGTACAGGGGCCCATGACAGATTACGGGCCTGGCAGCAGCAGTGGGCGGGCGGTGGATGCAGCAGTATTCGGAAGCCAAACACAGGCCTCGGTTAAAAAGCGGAAGCCGTCAGCAGCGTGAGCAGACGACAGAGGCACATGGCGCAGGGTGGCGGTGGAGGCAGCAGCAATGGGAGGCCATACAGCACCCTATGACAAAATGGAAACCACCACCAGCAGTGAGGAGACCTGAAAGTGGCACATGGCAGAGTGTGGCGATGGAGACAGCAGCAATGGGAGGCCGTACAGGGACCCATGACACACTCTGGACCTGGCAGCAGCATGAGGAGGCGGTACAGCTACTCATCATCGACTGCAGACTGAGGCAGCCGCTGCTGGTGGAGCTGCCACTGCTCCTACCACCCCACCCCTCCCCTGCTGCCATGGCAGCGGAACGCGAGCGCACAGGGCCCACAGTGTCTGAGGATGGACGTTGGCGCAGAAAGGCAGAGACCAACTGACTACATAGGTGGTTTTTATAGTACTTTATTTTGGCCTCCCTCTCAGCAGGTGTGAAAAAGGCCACCATTTTTGAACGGTAGCGAGGGTCCAACAAGGTGGACAGCCAAAAGTCATCCCTCTGTCTGATGGTTATTATTCGGCTGACGCTACGCAAGCAACCGAGCATGCTATGGGCCATTTGTGCCAAGGAATGCAAGGGACTCCCTGCCTCCATCTCCACAGCATACTGCCACGGTGCGTCTGGGTCCTCTGTCTCCTCCTCCTCCTCTACCAGATGCTCCTGCTCCTCCACTCCTGTCCGCTGAGTGAAAAAACCACCCATTTCACTCAATAATTCCTGAGCACCAATGTCCTCCTCTACCTCCTCCTCTTCTTCCTGTCCTGCCCCCACAGGGGTCACGTGGCGTTGAGATCTGTGCGCCACGTCTACCGCACCCTGACCAGCCATTGTTAACAGCATTTGTTCCAGGACGTGCAACAGAGGAATGACGTCGTTCATCCCATAGTCCTGCCGACTCACGAATAGCGTGGCCTCCTCAAAGGGCCTGAGCAAGCGGCAGGTGTCACGCATGAGCTGCCAATGGCTGACATCTAAGTTACACAGGGGAGTACCTTTATCCGCTTGTAACATCAGGAAATCGGTGATGGCCTTTCGCTGTTCGTAAAGGCGGTCTAACATATGTAGGGTTGAATTCCACCTTGTTGCAACGTCGCAGATCAGGCGATGCTGTGGAATTCCGTTCTGCCGCTGCAGCTCAAGGAGGGTGTGCTTTGCGGTGTAGGAATGGCTGAAATGCATGCAAAGTTTACGTGACATTTTAAGGATGTCTTGCAGTGGGATGGTGGATTTTAGGAACCGCTTGACAACCAGATTGAACACGTGAGCCATGCATGGCGCATGGCACAACCTTCCTTGACGCAGAGCAGACACCATGTTCTTTCCGTTGTCGGTCAACATGGTTCCGATTTTCAGTTTGCGCGGAGACAGCCATCTGTCGATTTCTCTGTTCATTACACTCAGAAGTTCCTCCCCTGTGTGACTACGTTCGCCAAGGCATACCAGGTGCAGCACAGCGTGACACCGTTGCGCCCTGCACATGTGATATGCCGGTCGGGTAATGGAACTTGGCACGGGGGTGGCGGCTGAGGACACGGCGGAAGAAGAGGTGGTAGAGGCGGACATCTTTGCTGGACCAAGGACGTGCAAACGTGGAGGCAAAAGCGGCGTGACCTGTCCAAGTTGCTGGTGCGGCTGTGCCGGCACCACGTTCACCCAGTGGGCCGTAAATGACATGTACTGTCCCTGACCGTAGTTACAGCTCCACACGTCGGCGCTGCCGTGCACTTTGGCAGAGACCGACATGCTCAAAGACTGGCCCACCATCTTTTCTACATGTGAATGCAGGGCTGGCACTGCCTTTTTGGCGAAGAAATGCCGGCTTGGCACTCTCCACCGCGGCTCGGCACAAGCCATCATTTCTCGGAAAGGTGCTGAGTCCACCACTTGGAAAGGGAGGGACTGCAGCACCAGCAACTTGGACAGGAGGACATTCAGCTTCTGCACCGTCGGGTGCGTGCTCGCAAACTGTTGTCCCTTGGAAACGGATTCCAAGAAAGACTGCTGACGGAATCCGTGAAGAGGAGTAGCAGGAGAAGGAGCATCTGAACGAGCGGAAGATGCCAACGAGCGACAACTCCCCTCAGCAGAGGTGTTGGAGCCTTGACTGGCTGATAGAGGGCGATTGACGTCGGGTGACTGAGCAAGTAACGGAGCGGGTGATGGAGCGGGGGCTGGGGCAGGCAGAACCGCCGTATCTTTATCACGGTTTTCCCAGGCCACCGAATGGCGACGCTGCATATGCTGACGCAACGCTGTAGTCCCAACATGGGCCCCCTGGCCACGTTTGACTTTCTGGCCACATAGTCGACATACGGCTACGTTTACTTCCTCGGGCGGCTTGACGAAAAATTGCCACACCGCCGAGTAGGAAACTTTGCCCCCGCTACTCCTCACTGGCTGACTGCTACTTCCTCCGTGCACACCGGCACCACTACTGGCCGTGGTGGTAGGCTGCAGTGGAGCTGGTGCTCTACTCCGTGGCCACTTGCCTCCACTGCCACTGCTGCGACCCTGCTGCCTCCTGGGCAACCCACCGACTGTTTTGCTCGCTGGCAAGCTGGCACCCTCTTCTCCTGATGATGCGGAAGCAATAGCCTGATGACGACTAGGCTGCCAAGTGCGATCAGCCTCATCATCATCAATTAGGGTCTCCGCGTCACTACTAGCCCCCTCGGCTGCGTGTGGGTCAGGAGACAGACCTGTCTCTAGACCGGCTACCGAGCCACTCTCCTCGCCAGTACTTCTTCGTCTGGCTGCTGAAGAGGCGGATGTCTCCCCCCGTTCCTGACCGCCCTCTGTTAGCTCTTCCTCACTGTACAGTGGGGTTGAGCCCACAGCATGCGATACTTCGCTTGGTGAGGGAACACCAAAGGACAGGGGCAGGTAGAGGACACGTGATTTCAGTGGGCTTGCTCCCGGGCCATGCCAACTAACGGTTGTGTCTGACGTACCCACCAACCGTTGGCTGTAGGTGTCAGAGGTGACCTGGGAAGAGGAAGACGACCGAGTCAACCAATCGATGACGGCAGGGTTGTCGGTGGAGACACGACCGCTGGATGACACCGGGAGCACTGGCCTCTGGCTGTGACTAGTGCTGCCTTGACCCCTTCCTCTGCTGCCACGTCTGCTCGCTCCTGAAACATTGCCTCCTCTGCCACTCCTCTGCGTGTTGTCTGACATACTCTTTAATTCAATAAGCACCCCAAACATAAAACAGGATTTAACTCTTTGAACGTACAATAGTGGTTGTGAAGCAGAAAGTAACGATTCTGTGTCCCTGAGTAACGATTCTGTGTCCCTCAGTAACAATTCTGTGTCCCTGAGTAACAATTCTGTGTCCCTGAGTAACGATTCTGTGTCCCTGAGTAACGAATTCTGTGTCCCTGAGTAACGATTCTGTGTCTGTCCCTGAGTAACGATTCTGTGTCTGTCCCTGAGTAACGATTCTGTGTCTGTCCCTGAGTAACGATTCTGTGTCTGTCCCTGAGTAACGATTCTGTGTCTGTCCCTGAGTAACGATTCTGTGTCTGTCCCTGAGTAACGATTCTGTGTCTGTCCCTGAGTAACGATTCTGTGTCCCTGAGTAACGATTCTGTGTCTGTCCCTGAGTAACGATTCTGTGTCTGTCCCTGAGTAACGATTCTGTGTCTGTCCCTGAGTAACGATTCTGTGTCTGTCCCTGAGTAACGATTCTGTGTCTGTCCCTGAGTAACGATTCTGTGTCCCCTGAGTAACGATTCTGTGGCCCTAAAGTCTCTGTGGCCCTAACTCTGTCCCTAATACAGACAGGTCTGTCTCTCTTGAATGACCGGAGGCTAATGGAGAATTCTAAGATTGCCGCGATTTATAGCTCCACCATTACACAGTGCTGGCTGGCTGGCTGCTGATTGGCTAATGCGATCACATGTCATGAATGAATGCATTATGGGTCAGCGCGCCTTGTCTGCGCGCCTTCCCAGAGATCCCCGCTCCGTCGCCACACATGTCGCCGCCATTTTTGGGAAAATTCGATTCGTGCATCCGAAGTTTGCTAATTTTCGGATTCAGCGCAAATCGAATTTTTCCTAATCTTCGAAACGAATTCCACTTCGTCATGTTCGATTCGCTCATCTCTAGTTATGACATAAAACACTTTCCAAGAATAACTACAACCAAACTCTGTTTACCAGAAATGGCACACATTTTAAGTATGGGACAAAATTGCCAGTGGTTCTCCAGCTAGGAGGACAATTTCCAAATGTTATTGCTAGCCTAACACAGAAATCAAAAAATGTGACCACGTTTTATTTAAAATGTCTGCTGTTAAACATTAGCAATTTTCTCAGTGCGTGTAGATTTTAAGTTAGTGATAGCAGCTTGATGAAAAAAATTCCAAATTTCAGTTAATTTATTGCATATTTATTTTTGTATGTAAATAAATAACTTCCATGTACGCTGGTTTTTGTTTTATTTATTGTAATAAAATTGTACTAATGTTATTTCATAATGTCTGTTCATTTCTGTTCACAAACCTACTGTGATTGTGTAAAAAGGTGCTCATGGAGAGGTAAATGCAAATGAGGGATGTGTGCTTTTTCTAGATTCAAAAACTTGCATATTGCACAATCCCCTGGGTTTTGGGGATATTTGAATACCCTGTGGTGTCTGTTTCACATCATTCGACAACTGAGGCCGCCTAGTATTTTACTGAAAGTTTAGTACTAACACGTTTAGATTGCTTTGGGAGAGGATGTATAAACTAAATTGAGCCTAATCCAAAAGTCCAATGCTGCAGGGAGAAGAACCCTGCAATTCAGGTAAGAGTAAAAGGGGGGGATCGATTTGAACATGGAGGGATGGGGAATGTGACCATATTTTATGTCACAACCTAAATATTGGTGTAACACAAAACGTGGTCACAAAAAAGGACGGACTAAGCCTTTAAGACAAGTGTGTAAGCATAACCATATCAATTCATGTGGCTGCTATGAGACACAGGAGGCTGGAAGGTCCAGTTTATGTCCCAATGGATGTTTTTACAGCTGCAGTTTTTGGCTTTTGAGATTTTTTTTTTTTCTACAGCCAGTAAACGCCCCAACATGTTAGCCTATGTGTCCATGCACACAGACTGTAATCAACATTTTAGTGCTGCAAAAAAAAACCCCAGAACTAGTGGGTTTCTAGAGTTGTTTTTTTTTTTTTTTTTTTTTTTAGCTGTAAAAATGCTCTAACTCTGAAAAACGTGG